TTGAAAGACATTTTCTTGAATAAGATTTTCAATCTCTTGGCCAGTAGATGTTAATTCTACAGGTTAAAAAATAAACCTACTGAAACACATGTACTCAGTAAATATAATATTTGTAGTAATCATATATATATATATATGTGTGTGTGTGTGTGTGTGTGTGTGTCTTGAAAAAGGTTTATATTGAAATGATCAATTTACTTATATTTTGAACCAGAATTCTTAGTTAATTCAGATAATTTTTTTTGCATGGAACCAATCTGGAATTAACCTTAAAATGCCAACTATATTAAAAATACAAAATAACTTGTTATTTTTTGATAGACATTTATTCAGTATATTTTAATAATATATATATATATATATATATATATATATATATAAGGGTGTGATGGGTAAATTGTCACCATTTGATATTTTTAATTTCACACATGTGCATTGTTTGTTTTTGATTTTGTAGACTGCACAGTATAGTAGGGTCAGTTGGACACTGTAAGAAAAAGAGTACTATGATGCAATTCACTCCAGCAGAAATTTTGAAACAGCATGCTGTACTGCTTGGCTGTAGTGAAGGAGATAATCAAGTACCCCGGAAAAAAGTTCGTGTTTTGTGTGCGATTTGCCGGGGAGGGATTGCCAAAAAGTAGTCAGCAAAACTCTTATAGCGACTTACCTCGTCAACCCAAGCGACAGCGCGTCACGTGTATTCTGTGACAAAAAAAGAAACAAGCCCGTCGCAGGAGTCGCCATAAGAGTATATTAATATGCAAATTACGGAGCATCCTATCCCGGCTGTCGACGAATGGAAAAAATAGGTTCTGCCGATAAAAGCAGTTGGTGTTGTCGACTGGGAAGGAAAATTGGGCAGTTTTGGCACGGGCGTTCGTGAGTTATTTTTCCTGATGCGTTACAAGTGATTTTCTTTTCTTTGTGTTGTGAAAGCCACAAATTTGCTTTGAGAACGCTTACACTTCAAGCTATTTCGCATTTACTTTGTCTCTCTGAAGATGGCGGAAAGACCGTTCGATATAAAACTGATCCCGAATTCAGTGGTGATACTAGTGGACAGTCTGTGGTTGAATGGATTGAAAAGGTGGAACTGGTCTGCGAATTATGCGTAGATATCGAAGATTGATCGGATTCTTCCTCTGCAATTGAATGGCGGTGCCCTTGCTGTGTATAGGCAGCTGAGTAAAGAACAGAAAAGCGACATTGAGCAAATAAAGCACGTCTCGATCTACGATGCTTTCAATGTCAGAAAGTAGGTCATATTGCCTCTAAGTGCCCGGAAATGGAATGGGGACGCGACGTCAGCGCCTGTCTCTTCCCCGCACCGAGCATGAAAGTGGCGCCCTGTGATTAAGGTACGATCAATGGAATAACGCGATACCGCATTAATAGATTCGGTTGTTCTCGGTCACCACCAACGGTTCGACGGCAGTGGAGCAGACAAAAGATGGACGTACTAACGGCTGATGGAAAGGCTCTCAGAAGCCGGGGAGTTGGAAACATCACTATTTAACCCTGATTGATTGTGGCCCAACCCGGTTCACTATTTGGCGGCGTCTGCGTCGACAGGATTCCGAAAGCGTCATTGACCACTTGGGGTCATTGTTCTTCGAATGTGGACCTCCGACGGAACTCCTCACTGACGACAACACTGCATTCCGCAGTGAACTATTCAAAGATTTTGTGGCTTCGTGGGGAGAACACCTCAGATTTCGCTGCGCCGTATGTCCCATCAGGAATGGCATAATCGGCGGCGTCATCGGAGCATCAAAAGAATCGCTGCTAGGAAGCAGTGTTCCATAATGGAGGCGTGTATTGGTACAATGTTACTCGAGAGACAATAATGTATCGCCCTCAACCGCGCCAGCCAACATGATTTATCAGTACAAAGTCCGGCTACGAGGCATTGACGCAACGCGCTCAACTGAACGGATAAACTAAACGAGGCCGTATGACTTGGGCATCGGTGCGGGTGAAATCTCCACATAGCCGGTGAACAACCCGGCACCGGTGGGGCATGTCACTGGACTAAGTAACTCCGCGTTCTGTGCTGGTTGATGGCATACCAAGACATAAAGGACTTAAGGTCACTATGTAGGTACAGATATGTCAACAAGTGACACTAGCAGTGAGTGCTCAGAAAGTGAACACATAATTACCACATCACTCCTTCCATCTGACCACCTAACTTCCCAAACTACAAACCCCTTGATTAATATGTATGGGACAAAGTTGAGCAAGAGACCAAAAAACTCCTTATAACACTAAAGATGAACTGAAGGCAAGGATTATGGCAGTATTCACCAATTTAAACAAGGGTTCCATCCAGAAGAGTTGCAGGAGATTCCCAAGTTGTCTGGAGGCCATGGTTGAAGCCAATGGCGATTTTATTAAATAAATTTACTCTTTAGTATTTCAAGATATTTTTGTGTAATTTTCGTAAACATATGAGATGCCAGTGTTGTTTTCATTTTTGCACAATTTAAACAAGTTATCCTTCACGCTGTATATAAAATGGAAAGAAACATGAATGTTTACATTAATTTTTAGTGCTGGTTTCATACAACATTATTTGGATAATCTTGACAGAGAAGAAAATTCCTAAACTGGTTTTCTAGATCAAATTAGAACAAAAAATTTGAATGTATTTACTAAGCTTAGTTTTAAACATGGTTATAATATCAAGGCACCATCTGGTAAGGATTGAATTCATTAAACTAGCAATCATCAACAAAACTAATTTACTAAAATCACAATGGTAAGGCACTTAATATTTATGAAACAAGTTAATGATCATGCCAAACAAACTGTTATAATGAATTTGTCTCTCTGATGAAACCAAAATCAACTTGTCTTCCTTTTTTTATTTCTATATTTTTTTTTAATTTTTAATTTATAGAAAAAAAATTAATTTAAATGTCATTGGGGCTTTTGCAAAAAACAATCTCATCTAGGTTTTATAAATTTAAGTTCTATATTTAATCTTGTTTGTCTAAATACAAATAGCTGAAGAAAAAAACAGTAAAAGTGATTAAACTAATAAAAGATTTAATTCTAACAATATTCTCTTCAACACCCAAAAAACATTGTCAGTTAATGAGACATGTTTCATCAATCAAGTTATGGAGAATTTAAATGGATAAAAACTTAAGACAACAAAATAATTTAGTTTAATCTAAAATGAACAATAATCTATGATATTTAGAAGGAATCTGACAAAATCAAACTGCATCTTTTTCTTGGATTTTTATACCATAAAGTTGAGAATATTTGCTGACATTTTATTCTCAGAAGAAATATTAAAATGAAATTGTTGTATTTGAAGCATAAAATATTTGAAGAACATTTCCTGTTGCTGGAGAAAGCAGATTTGTGTTTCTTGTGTTGAAAGAAACTAAAAAAGGAAGGAAAGGAAGAAAGGAAAGGAAGAAAGGAAAGGAAGAAAGGAAAGGAAGAAAGGAAAGGAAGAAAGGAAAGGAAGAAAGGAAAGGAAGAAAGGAAAGGAAAAAAAGGAAAGGAAAAAAAGGAAAGGAAAAAAAGGAAAGGAAAAAAAGGAAAGGAAAGAAATAAGTTAGTATGAAAAGTTTTTGGTATTGTTTTTTCATTTTCTTTTTTAGAGAAGTAAGCACACACAAATCAATAAGAACTAAAGTGAAAATCCATTCACAGTTCTATCAAAGAATAGAAAATGTCAGTAAAAACCACATGCATAGGACCAGAGCTTGCAAAAGAAAAGCTAACAGTATTAGAGATTGAATATAACTAAATATTTATATTGCATCTCAGACTATAAAAAGGGCAAGTAAGTGTTTAAAGAAGAGGAAAAAAACTAAGATCATGATAGATCAAACAGGAAGAGAGAAAAGAGAAATAGATATGTAGGTATATATACTAGATAATGCAATAAGATAGTAACAAACTGAAGAGGTCAGTAGGTGCACATTTACCTGAAGTAAGTTCTGTATGAAATGGAACTGTTAAAACCTTTGATTAGCAGTTAGCAAGTTTACTCAATTTAATTGGCATTAAAAAAAAAGTATTAACATTTTCGTAGCATGTAAAAGGGTGCATCGATATTGAGTAGAGTCAGTATAAGAATTAGGGTATTTGCTATGAAAAAGATTTGAAAACTTTCAATTTTGCCCGTTGAATAGGAAAGGAAAATCACAGATAAAGACATTTTTAAGTGCTATCACAACCAACTTGCCAATCTGTTATAATAAATGTTATATAAAAAAAAAAAGATTGTGTATATGTCAGTGACATATCATCAATTGTATTAAATAGACAAAAGAGATAGCAATGGCATTAAATGATGATGCCCAATTGTAATACCAGCCCTTTTCTTTAAATCTAAAGAACCAAATGATTTCAATATGTGATGCATACAGAGTACAAAAGTAATTGATTGATTTGTTTATGACTTATCAACCCTTTGCTGGTTATTTAAAGTCAGAAAAATTTTTACATTGTCAGAGTTTTTTTTTTTAGATAATAATGGTTTTGTGATACAAGTCTTACTACTTAACCCATAGATGGGGAGAGGATGCAGATTCATACCTAATCAGAAATCTTTAAGCAAGAAATTATAATGTGGACATAAAGTGAGGGAACAATTCTATACTACAATCAATACATAAACTGATCTCTTACTTTGTGGCAACTGTAGTTTCTATCCATTTATATTCAAGAGAATGTAATTAAATATAAAAGACATGTCTGTGTAGCTAATGAGTATTTCATTGAGTGTTTGATTTGTTTTCTATGGCTTCTTGACAATTTGCAGGTTATTTAAAGCCAGAATTTGAGAGGGGAGATAATAGTTTAGTGATACAAGTCTTACTAATTAACCCATAACTTGTGGGGAACAGAAACAGACTTATAACTTTCCCCAAGGGTATTTGCATGAAAGTGAATATAACAAACCCAGCAGGAATTGGAACTCGGCTCTCCAATTAACAAATCTGAGCTATTATCCATTACACACATCCAAGCTTACAGCACCAGGTATTCCCAAGCAGTCACCCACCTAGGTACTGACCAGGTACAATTATGCTTAACTTCAGTGATTGTATAGGAACCAATGTTTAAACATGATGTGGCCATAGGCCTACAAAAAATTTAAAATAGGCTTGAAATCTAATCAATATGGCTTAATAAAGAGGGAAACAAAAAAGAAAAAAGGAAAAAAAAAAAAAAGGAAAAAAAAAAAAAGGAAAAAAAAAAAAAAAAAAAAAAAAAACACATTGTGCAATTTGGTATATTTATTGGGGAGATGCATTTTTGTCTGTCTATATTTCTGAGATGAGATATTGTAATTACACTCCAAACTAGATTTCAGGACATCCTATGCTCCCAGTTTTCAGCATCCATTCTGGAACTAGTGATCCATTTTCTGGCCCATATGTTGCAATTTTTAAGCATTCTGATATAGCCATGGCATGTGAAACTAAAACAAACTATGCCAGTGGACAAAATAAAGGGTTAAGTTCGAAATTCCAATCACCTGAAGAAGGCTGGAGTGTACAACAGCCAAAATGTCAGGAACATGACAACAAAGATGAGGATAACAGTCCAAACAATGTAAACATATTGACTGCATCAGTCCTTCTGCTGCCTTATCCTGAGGTTGAGGTGTGTGTATGCTTCCCACTGATAGGATTGAATACACAAGGTTCCTTTATAGGGACATGTGAAAGTAATGTTTATTCAACTAAACATTGCTCTTTAGAGGAATTGCAAGCTAGGATAATTGATGTGATTGAAGGTAATACTGAAAATCAACTGTGAAATGTATACAGAATTGTATTACCCAATATTGGCATAATGATAGCAGGCATGTTGGAAATGAACAATCCCAATAATAAATTTAAACACTTCTTTCTTATTCTTTTTACATATTGTTTCTATTATGTATAGTTACAAAGCTGCAAGTATTTTAATTTGCATGCAGGGATTTTATAGACACCCTATATGATAAAATATAATTTTAAGGTATGCTATATTTATGGGATAAAGTGTTCAATATCAGAGAGCAAGTGTATGTAAATATAGAAGTTGACATTTAGGTCAACACGCAGAGGTGACAAGTTTATTTCATGCTAAATGCAATCATCATGGCCTGAATATTGTGCTTAGCATGAAACAGACCGTTACCCATGGGTGTTCAATGTGTGTGTGTGTGTATATATATATATATATATATTCATGTTTCATTAAATAATATAGACAAGTGTTGTCTATTTTATGTAAACTCTTTTCATAATGTCTAATAAGTTTAATAACATTATCATTGAACGAAGAAAGAAATTCACAATATTGATCCATATTTTTTAATACAATCTAAGCTTTCGGCTTACATACGCCATTATCAAAGATGTCAATTACAACATATTAAGCAATATACAGACAAGACAGTCATAGTCTGTGAATGTTTACATAGATGATCTCTAAGCAACGATAAACATGTGCATATAAGGCGCTAGAAGCCAAAATCGCACCGCATCTCATGACGTCACACATATGTGTGTGTGTGTCTCTAATGGATTAAATCCACCTAATATTTTAATATATTTTCTGTTTCAAAATAATGTATAAACAGAATATATATATATATATATATATATATATATAAAAGATAGAAATGCAAAAGACCATATATAAATGAAATATATTACATGTAACTTCTGCAGTTTCACTTGAAATCAATTTTGAAGCTGGTTTATTGATAGAAATCAAAATGATTTAAGCCCATTATTAAAGAATAGAACTGTCGATAAAAAAGTGCTGTAAGATTAAAATTGTCTTCATGTGTAACGCAGAACTGAAAGTTTTCAAAACTTGAACAATATTTTGCTTTCACTGAAAAATAACAAATGTTATAAGTTTTTGTTAAAAAGTTAAGAGGTCGCAAAAGTGCACCTTATTCTTTTCTCTCACAGTCACAATAAACCTGATTGAATAAAGGATTAACTAGGGCCAATAAGAAAATGGCAAAGATACCTGACGAATGGCTCTCTGTGGAGACAAACAACAGAAAAGAAAAAATTAAAACTCCAACAAAATTTTAAATTTGCTACAAACTTGACCTACAGTTTTTGGAATAAATTATGAAACTCTACAAATCAATAATACGCGTACATATATGTGCGTGTATATATGATAAACATACTTTGTAGATCATAGACTATTTTATAAAGCTTAATATAATTATTTAAATAATAAAGTAATTAGAAAGAACATTGTCAACAAACAAGAACATGAAGTAAAGTGATTTTTAAAACTTGTGAACATTGTGTGCGATTCAAGAATTAAGAGGTGGAGACTGATGAAATGTTGATCATAATGGAGGAAAATCAATTGTGCCAAATACTTAACATTTTTAGCCAAAATCCATTTTGCAGAATTTCAAAAGACATAATATCTGTTTGTAAATTTTAAGAAAACATTTTTTTTTTCTTTCACTGAAATACTATATACTAACAAGAAAGTTTCATATCAATACTATGTCTATCCAATACCAGGTCTTATTTACGCTATTTATATTCAAACTACTGTCCTTATCTTTGTTGTTGTTATCACACCATATCGTCCACTGTGCCCTCTGGCCTTCTTAAGGTGTATATTGATCTGAGTAATTCTGAAATTATTTAATCTATGGCGGTAGACTGTTCTCATTCAACTAGAATATCCTAGTTCTTATTTTATATAGTACTGAGCCACAGATTGAACTCACAAAAACTACGTCACCAAATTCTTAAACCAACGCTTTTATGCACTAGGACAATTTGCTGTAGTAAATTTAGAGCCTTAACCGTAACATGGCTGCTGATGAAGCTGCAACTACTGTTTCTGCTGTCTGACATGTTTTGAATGCTGCTGCTTAAATAGTGTAAATAATGATCCTCATCGGAAAAATTCAGACAATCATAATACTATGACTAGTTACTACGATGAAATGTTGGTCCCTAGCATTTGCATTATTAACTAACTAGTGTGTAATGCTATTTCCAAAGAAGTATAAGCATAAAGTAATGCACAATACAACCTATTGTGCGATATATTTTTATTGTGTTGGGAGAGAAGTATTTAATTTAGTCTGTACTGTATAGTATCCAATTGAAATCAAAATGGCAGGACCCACGAGAAATTGCTGTCAGCATCTTTATAATTGTTTATTTCTAGTAAATGATAGTTTCTTATAACTCCCCCATAAGATGGGCCAATATAGCCAGACAACAATATTATAAAAATGTGTCAGTGAAAGTTATTAATCTGATATTATTACAAAAAAAAAAAAAAAAAAAAAAAAAAAATTCAAGGAATTCTTAGTTTGCGTTTAAATTTCTTTGGTCAAATTCTACAAATATCTATTTCCTAAGTTTGGAATAAACTGTAAACGATCTTTATTTTAGATTATCCCTCTACACATCATTTAATATTGACTATTTCACTCACAAACTGTCCAAGTGACATTTCTTAAATACCAAACGTTTCTTATTGAAGGAACTAGAATAGCCAAAATAATATTTCATGTGGTCAAAATGCAAGTTGCAAGTATTGGCACAAGAAGACCAACTTCCCATCATTGTTTCCACCCTTCAATCCCTAAAAGTACCACAAAGTACCTTGATAGAGGACTTGTAAATTAGATGAATCAGGGCAAACTGGAAGAATAAGACAGAAATGAGTTTTGTTTGAATTTAATGTTAATTTTGTTTTAAATGAAGGTAGAAAGGGCATAAGAACACACAGAAAGAAAAGCTTTCTGAGGTTTTTAAAAAGAAAACATGTAACGGTTGGGAAGGAGAGAGGACAAAATCAACCTCCTGGAGTTTAAAAAAAAAAAAATGTAAATATTTCAATTACATTTTAAACATGTTCAGCTTTATTTTGTTTCTAAATAATTGAAAAAAAATGCTTTAGATTTAATAACCAAGCACTGACAAAGGTTTTACACAAAGAGTTCCAAAAAGGCATTCACTTATTTGATGTATAAAAATTTAGGATTTTAAATTAAATTTTCCATAAAATACATAATTAAAACACAGACTATAACAAAATAGCAATGACAATTTCTGAAAGATATATAAAATTAAATTTCAATCTCATTCAATTAACAAAAATCAAATGAGTTTTATTAATCAAATTGCATATCTTCCTAACACTTAAACCTTTTCAAAAATCAAATATCTTCTGAGTAAGTGATATTTGTTATGTTGCTAAAATCATAAAAATAAAGGGTCATTGCTTATAATTTATTATGAACTCTGATCATTTTCTTAAAACTGTTATTAAAGAATAATTATATATAATTATTCAGTTAATGCTTGGTGACCTTGCTAGCTACAGAAAAAAAACAGCAAAGACATAACAAAGAAAATAAGCACAAAGTTAGTTATTTTCTCTTACTTTTTGACTTGGCATTAGCACTGGTCCGAATGCTGCTCAATCCTGGTGCCCGGGAGAATGTTGTTTTTCGAAGGGGCTCTGGAGTCTCTGGAATCGTCAGTTCTGAATTTCCTACCATCATCAAAGAGTCCAAACTGGTCAATGAGTCACTGTATGAGGACTGGTAGGTTCGCATACTGTTCGGAGTGGCTGCAACCAGTGATCGGAAATAATTCTCCTGTTCAATACTGGCAGATGTCTCTCCAGTTGATGTACCTGATCATGGGGTAGGAGGAGGAGTAAAAAAAAAAAAAGTTTCTCATAATTAAGAAAGGATATTTAAGAAAAATATCAAAGAAATGTTGAAAAATTAACAAGTATGTATTACGCACACCAAATTAAAAAAAGAACCATTAGTCATAGCTTACTTGTAACAAATATTTCATTGAATTACATTACATTAAGTGCACAATGTAATCTATTATATATAAGGCATTCAACTGTGTGTATGAATGTCTCCAAAATTAATTTTGATGCTTAAAACCATATATATTCAGGTTCAGTATATTCCAAGAAAGATTTTGATAAACAATTTATTTCTGTACTCTTTATAAATTAAAATGTATGCTTGCTTTTTTATATTATTAATTCAGCCAATACAAGGCCCAAACACCATTCAAAGTAGAGAGTAACTGAGCAAGATTGTTGGAATGGAGGGGATAAGATGCACACATTATGAAGACAGGGAGGATCGATATCAGTTGAACCTGGACATGAAGAGACCGAGATTGTTGTTGTCAGAAAAGCACCCTCTTGAGAGTTTGTTCCAGAAAGTAACAATTCTGGAGAAGAAGCTGTCCTCATGGAACCAACTCCTTACCAAAAGGACATGAAGAGAATGGGGATGATTCACCACTGTGAACATGCCATGGCAGCTCCTAGCTATAAAGGTATGAACTGGTGGGACTAAGGAATGTAACTTGTCTGAACATTTGCCATAGTAATAGAAATAGAGTAATGAGAGACTAGCAACATTTCATCTGTGTCAAAGGATGGTAAATAATTCACCTCCCACAAGGCAGTATTATTATTATTCATCATGAATTGGGCATTACTGGGGTTATACAGTGTGTGGCAAAAGTAACACCCCCTTTTTTTTTTCTTTTTTTAGAGATTAGGTGGATAAGACAATGTGGAGCAATTGAGTGGCCATCATGATCACCAGACCTAACACTACCAGACTTTTTCTTTTGAGGTGTAGTGAAACATCTTGTTTACAGGCTGAATTAAAGGTTTGTATAAATGTTACTGAGAGGCTTCAGCATTGTATCGAACAGAAAGGCAAGCACTTTAAACATGTTAAATAGTTTGTTAATCATAAATCAAGTTTTAATGTGACAGTACTTACAAATTTTCTTAAACTACTCTAATATATTTTTGCTCAATAAAACTTAATTAAATAAGGTCATTACTTTTTCTGCACTCTGTATTAATAATTCCTGAACTAACAAAGTTTAACAAATCTAGTTAGATCAAATCTAATCAAATATACTAAAATTATTGAGTTTATATTACCATTTCTTCACTATAATTGGGCAAATCTCAACTACAAGAGACAGATAATGTTTTAAAAAAGACCAGGTCCCAATTCTGTAAGGAATATTTCATCTTTCAAAATATTCTCTTCAAAACATTACTTAATTATAATAATAAAGATGATTGACATGTCTTTTCCAATATTTTTTCAACATTTAATGAACTCTATTTAAGAAGACAAAAAGACAGTGTTCAAGTAATTTTGATGAACATATTAAGATGCACATTCTGACAAAATATCTGGAATTCACCAACCCTTAAAACGCATAAAAGGTAATTACATATGCCAACTACAAATGTTGCAGCAGCCCAGGGGAATGACCAAAATGATAGGAAAGTTCCATAAAATTTATACTGAATTGTTTGATTAATTGCTCTTGCTAACAAAAATCAACTAACAAAAAAATTTCAAGATTCCCAGTCATGTAACTTATGTTTCAGTTGGATTCCATTTGTTTTGTTGATTACCAGTACAACCATTTTTCTCAAGACGAGTGATATTTATACAAAGACTCGTATTTCTTTATATTTTTATACTTGTGTGCAATTTTTAAAACATAATTTTATGATAGACATACTGCTGAAATATTGTTAAGCATTTTTAAACACTGTCTTTTCTTTTCTTAAATTGCATCCTTCTCTAAGTGTTGTTGTTATAATAATAATAAAAATAATATCTACTTCTCTATAAAATATATCTTCAATATAGTATCTGTCTCAGAAAATTTTAATCTTTGCCAAACTAAGAATTTTCTTTTGTGTATCTATAACCAACAAGGGAAACAAGACCATTCTTTTGCTAATAGAATAGCAACAGCACTCTTTCTTGCATTCTCACTTCTTAAAGCAGAGAGAGTTCAGTGAGCCAGAATTGTAGATCAGCTGAACACTTATAGTCAGAGTGAAACCTTTCTATATAACAATAAAAAAAAAAACGAATGTCCTGTAATTGTTGTATTTTTACAGACATTCTCAGAAATAAATGTCAACATTATATAAGAGAAAAAATAAATTACCAGAAACTGTGTTGTGATGTCGGAGCATTCCCATCAAGCTTCTGGAGTGGAAGCCACTTGCTCTTATCAATAAGGCTTTGGTTCGAGAGTGGCGCCACGTTATGACAGGAAATCTGGGGAAATGAGAAAAAAAAATTTTTTTATTCACAATGAAGAAAATCGATAAAAATGTCAGGCTTAAATATAATCCAACAAATCACTCTCATGTTGAACACCCTAATAATTTATGCAAAATAGGAATATCATTAAAAAAATTTAAACAAAAAAGGGAAATGGTTGGTATGGTAAATATAGCAAATCTTGTTAAATTGTCTGCAATCATAGTCATTGAACACAATTCATTTATAGGCAGAATTAGAATGTCTCTGGACAGAAATACCCACACATAACATCTAGTAGATTTCATATATAATGTGCATCTAGTATTATTCAAGTGAGAGGAGATGCTACACACTATTAAATTGCTGTCTAATTTTTTTGGTATTTCAGTTT